GACCAGGCAGTACTAGCAGATCTGAAAAGAATACTTAAGGTCCACCCTTTCCCAGCCACCCCATACCCAGCTGGCATACTGACCCAGAGAGGCTTTGGGTGAGGTGCCAAGCAGGTCTGTGTTGGGGCCATGCTCTGACTCTGTGGATGCAATGGTAAGAATTAGGTGTAAGGCTTCTAGCTTCTGAAACCTCCCCTAAGAGTCACTGGCCTTCCTCAGCTTGCCACCAGAAGACAAAAGAGATGGAAATGAATCCCAGTCCATCCAAAGACTAAAGAAGACTCCCACTCCCATTCCCTTGGCCAGGTGTCCCCTTTCTAGCCCCAAGTTCTGTCTTAGGATCAGGGTACTTGGTTAGAATCTGGGCTGAACTCACGTGCCAGGCCACTGCTCTCTGCAGACGAGGCTGGCTGCTGGGTCCCTGAAAGCTCAGTGGCTGGCGCATCCCAGGCAGGGGGCTGAAAAGGAGGCCAGACCACAGAAGCCTCGGTGAGCCCTCCTGCTAGCAAAGAGCACCAAGAACCTACAAGTACCTTGTAAGTACAAGGTCCTACTCCAAGCCCACAAGGAAAAGGAGACTGGTAGTTAAGCAAGTTAACATTATAATTGCTATTCACTAAGGAAGAAAAGAAGCAAAACACAAGTAGAGCCCCCCTCCACTATTTTCTTAGAGCCAGAGCCCATTCTTATGTAAAAATAACTAAAAACTATTGGGCACTTACCACGTACCAGGCACAAGTTTAAGGACTCTTATATACAAACATATTTAATTACCACAAGCCCTGTGATATCTTAGATAGATCTCCCTTTTAGAAACTGAGGTTTTGGCTCAGCTCCTATAGCTCAATGGGCTAAGGCACCAGCCATGTACACCTAAGGTGGCGGGTTCGAATCCCCAGCCTGGACCCGCCAAACAACAATGACGGTTGCAACCAAAAAATAGCCGGGCGTTGTGGCGGGCGCCTGTGGTCCCAGCTACTTGGGAGGCGGAGGCAAGAGACTGGCTTGAGCCCAGGAG